GTTAAGGATTCCTAACTTTATTGGCAAGCTAAGAGCTGTTACCTACATCAGCTCATTTGAAAGCATTTTTATTGTTATGAGACATACAAGTAGGAAACAGGATGAAGTTGGAGCCATCTGTGGGCCAGCATTTTCATTTGATCAACTGACTATCTCGTTGACATCATTATCCTGTACGAATGTGTTCCATACTCGAGTCATCCTGGGTATGTATGATCTCAGATGGAGTGATGTTCTGGAGAAGGGTACAGCCAGAGTGAAGTTGCTGCTTTCTGCCCGTCTTGTGGCATAAAAGCTTGTTTCACGCTGTCCTTGAAGTGGATCCAAGTGTGGTATTTTGACAATATTGGCCTTGTACATAACAGTAAGGCCACCCACATCCCTCCTATGTTGAAGGCTCTGCTGAAATGACAGATCTATCCAGGATGGGTCCAGGCGAGAGATGAGACGTCTTGCTCTGTTCTCTACTCTGTCAAGCAGTCGCAGATGAGAGGGGGGGCAGGCAAACCAAGAAAGTGGAGCATACTCAAGGTGCGAGCGTACTTGTGCCTCGTACAGGATCTTGCAACCCCTACTGTCAAGCAGATGGGAGATACGGCGAAGTGCTGTAAGCTTCCTGGCTGCCTTGTTTGCAAGATTTACAACATGGTTCTTCATGGTTAGTTTGGAGTCAAATTTCACCCCAAGGATATCAACTTCTTCTCCAGGTGCCAACATCCTCCCATTCATCCTTACTACTGCACCAGCATTACCATCATGGTGCCTAGAGACGATCATCATTTGCGTTTTCTCAGGTGCAAATGTTACTTGCCATCTATTTCCCCAAGCTGATATAGCTCTCAGCTTGTGATTGATGTAGCTTAGAGCAGCTGGCATTTCTTCTCTTGGATAAGTGAATGTCAGTGTACAGTCGTCTGCATATGCATGTGATTCTGGGATGAGATGAAGAAGGTCGTTGAAGTAGACATTCCATAACAATGGACCCAGCACGCTTCCTTGTGGAACACTTGCCCCAATAGGATGTCTTGCTGATTCCGTTCCATTGAGAACTACACTTAGAGATCTACCATGAAGGTAGTCACTGAGGAGACATAGCGTAGAGCCTGCAATTCCCAGTGCTTGAAGTTTTGCTAAGAGGCCCTGGTGCCACACCCGGTCGAAAGCGCCAGCAATGTCCAGTGCTACCACACAGCTGACTTTGGATTCATCCAGTGACTGGTGCCACTTAGTGGAGAGGTTTAACAACAGATCAGCAGCAGAGTAACCTTTCCTGAAGTCATATTGATGATCACAAAGTAGTGAGTGGTAGTCAAAAAACTCTGTCATTTGTCTTGAGATTATTGTCTCAAGGATCTTACCAGTGATTGACAGGAGTGACACTGGTCTGTAGTTGCTGATTTCTGCTCTGCTCTTCTTTTTGTGAACAGGGACTACATTTGCCTCTTTCCATAGAGAGGGCCATTTACACTGTACTAGGCAGTGCTGAAAGATGCGAGTTAGAGGTGCTGCTAGCTGGTCTGCACATCTCAACAATCTTGGGCTCAACTTGTCTGGGCCCACAGCCTTTTCTTGGCAAGCGATTTAAGTAGGAAATGCACCTCCTCCTGCCTTATTGTCACCACTGACAGTTTTGACCCCAGTTCTTGAAAGCTAGCCAAGGAGGGTCCCTTGCTGGATCAGGAACTTCATTTTGGTAGCAAAGTGTTCAGCAAAGAGGTCCGCCTTCTCTTGACTAGTAGAGTGGTCCCATCCTGTCGATTTAGAGGTGGAATAAGTTCATCGGCAGATAACCTTGTCTGTCCTTGACCAGGGACCACCAGGTTTTGGAGCTCCCCTACCTGATGCTAACTTTCTTTTAGTGTCCACCTCCCATTTAGCAATGGCCCATTTTTGAACATCACCCATATGCCTACAGGCTTGCATGTGCAAGTTCCTGTTATAGGTGGTGGATGTCTTTATACCTTCGCCATGCTTTGTACTTAGCAGTAGCAGCCTCTCTAAGGCCTTTCCATGAATCTATTTAGTTTTGAATGTACTTTTTCAGTTGCATTTAAAAAAACTGCAATTATATAGAGGGACCTTAAGAGATCTGACTGTATCCCTGAAGGGGAGCCTGTAACTGGTCTGAATTGTTTTCATTTATAACCTGAATGTTTTATCTGATTGGCTTCAATTTTTCAGTAACGGTGTATGTACTGTAACTAGGGAAAGTTTTTATGTAACTACAGACATATGAAGGTGCCCTCTAGGCAATTTTTTTTTTTTTAGTCCATTCCCAATTTTATTTTCAGTGTGATAGCTCAAGAAATTCTTGTTTGATCAGCTTCAATATTTCATCATTATTTTATCCTACTTAGAAAGAAGGTTGAGATTATTATTGGAATGTATAGATGCCAGTTTGTCAGTCATGTTTTTAAAATGGTGTACTTTTTTTTCCTATAAAGTATCTTTACTATGCTTCTTCTACCCAGCTTCACTCTTTAACCCTTAAATGGTCCAAAGAGATCAACGTTCAGATTCGTAGTGCTACAAAAGTAGATCTACTTTTTTTTTACATATTTTCAAATATAACAAAAAAAAAGTAGATAAGTTTTTTTTACACGTTTTCAAATGTAAAACAGAAAAGAAGATCTACATTTTTTCCATACTTTCAGATGTTGAAAAAATGTATATATACGTTTGGACCATTTAAGGGTTAATGGCCGATAAATCTTATGGAGAAGATGGTGCCCTGTAAGTTCAGGTTTTGCAGATGAAAATTTTTTAATTTACTGACATAGTTAAACTTGGAATCATTGGATTCCTAGCTATAACAGGAGAATGCTGTCTCTAATTGGCTTCAAACTGTAAATTCTGGACAAGCTTAATTAGATGAACTTTTGGTTTCATCTTGAGCTATAAGTGCCAGGTTATCGAAGAAGCTGGAAATGTTGATGTACAGTAGCGCCGCAACATATGACTTTAATACGTTTCTGAAAATTCATCCTAAGTTGATTATTCGGTACTCAGAACCCATTCTTCCGTAGAAGTCCGTGTTATTGTGGAATAATGCATTCTGCATGTAATTTTTTTTTTCAAACGAATTTTTACTGTTTTTCATGTGATGTGAATTTTCCCTGGTTTTCATGCAATGTGTGAATGCCTCATCTGGTTTCTTTTAAGTCTTCAGCACTAATGTACAGTATTTCTGATTTTAATTTTTGTACAATAACTTGAGGATGCTACTTTTGATCAGCTTCAAACTTTGAATACTGGTGTATCCTACTTAGGAGGCTGGGATTATTAGTAAGCATGTGTCAGTTTGCCAAAGTACTTCACTAGCATCAAGCAACACCTGCACCACTTTGCTATTAGTGTCTTCATATTACCTTGCCTTTTGCCTTCCAAATGATCACCTAAGGGTTTAGCACCTACCCGATGAATATAACATTTATATTGTCCTGGTGAACCTATGTGTACCTGTATAGCTCAGTTTTGTTACTTCATAAACTACAACTTGGAAAAATCTTGGCCTCAATTCACCAAACACCACACTTAGGAGAGGGGACTTCATACTGTAGTGAGAGCCCCAAAGCTGGCTATACTGAAACAAAACTCAGGTGGATAATCAATATGAGGAGAAGAGAGGGGTGTTATGGGCTTAAAAACCCATGTAAGCTGTTGTTTCTAGTGGTAAGGCAGTAGTTGGGTTAGAATAACCCACCAGAAGTAGCACAGTTCAAATTACCTCTACTGATGCCCACACCACCATCTAAAGGGCCTGCCAGTGACTTCAGAAAAACTCATTGTAATGCCACACTTTTTCATGTTAGGATCAAGTACCCTTTGGGTAGACTAGTGAAGGGAGAACTGTTGTCACATAAGAGGTTTGAGGAGCAGCAGCACTGCTATAGTTGTTAAACTATAGCAGTTTGAGTTTTTGGTGACCTGTTCCAGATGCTGTATTGTGATTGTTCTTTGACCTGGACCTTTCATAAGTGTCTAAAGTATTTGTAGATGAAAGGATAGGATGGGAAGAAAGATGAATAAGGCCTTTCAGTCATTTATCAAGGCCATATACTGATAAAATAAGAATGCTAATGTGTGTGGTAGTTCTACATATTCATAGATGAAGTAGGGATAGAAAAGTAGGTGCTGTGAGACATGGCCGAGGTGTGGGAATAGGGTTATTTGGGGGTGGTATACACCTGTGTATCTACAGTACCTAGAATACAGATGTTAATTATGGTGTATATAAAGTATAATGTACATAAGGTTAATTGTCCTCATAAAAACTGCATCAAAATATTGAAAGCACAAGTGCATTCTTTGGCACATTAACAAGGTATATTTTTCTCAGTTATGTGATAATGGTATAAAATACCAACAAGTTGATGACTAAGACATGTACAACAGTGTCAGTAGACTGAAGAAGCCATATACAGAGGCAGCAGGTGTAGTAGTGAAATGATGATGTAATCAGTCCATCAGCCTCGGAGAAAAAGTATTCAAGGTAGTCAGTCCCTCAGCCTAGAGAAGAGCTTACCTCCCATCATGGAGCTGAACTGTTCTCCAGGCTGAAGGACTGACCACTTCAAATACTTTTTCTCCAAGGTTGATGGACTGATTACATCATTGTTTCACTACTCCACCTTCTGCCTCTGTATTTGACTGAAGAAGCCTACTGTGTAGACAAAATGTGTAACTATAAAGATACCCAACTGTTGCACATGTGTCTTATTCATCTTCCTCAGTAAACATGTTACATAACAGTAACAATATTTGTTATAAACTAAGCTTTTTATTATAAAATAAGCTGTTACCAATTTATGAAAGTGTGAATACATATCTAGCACAAAAATAATACATGAGGTAATATTAGTGTTTGTGTGTTTTAACTGAAGTACCATATACACACATTAATCCTGATTACTAGTATATCATGTAACTAATTTGATGAAACAGTGAAAAATTATGAGATTATAATAAGATGCATTTATAAAATGCTAAACGTATGGAGCTTCATGACCTAGTTAAAATATTTATTACAATACAGTAGAACCCCCACATCCGCGGGGGTTACATTCCAAGGACCTGCCGTGGATAGTGGCGAACCTTACATATAAGCTGATTTTTTTATATACATACCTAGTATACAGGTTAATAAATTACACACAGTAAGGGGAGAATTATCACTTTTTAACTGATAGGAAGCATTTCACAGCTTCTCTTAGGCTTTGAAAACTTTCACCATCATTACTTTTGCACTCCGAGGCCATTATTAGGCAAAATTAAGGGTTATTTTCAGACAACATGTAAACTGCAGATACTGGACCCAAGGATACAGGGGTGCTACTGTAATAAATAAAATATTTACCAAACACAAATACAGAGGATCCTGTAGCACAGAGATCAGGCTCAGGCAAAGCCCAACTGTTTATAAATTGTTTAAGGAGCACTGGCAACTGAACCAGTCCTTACAAGTACTCAGTGCAAGTCTAGCTGTGTCAACTCAGCCCTAGTGTGTATTGCTCTCAATGTACAGGTGCAAGGGTGCTGGTTCAATGTCCAATATTCCTTCCATAATTTGTTACTGTCACCATGCAGCGAGATTCTCATCTCACAACTAGGATTGGCCCCAAATATACAGAGAACTAAAGGAACTCTGATACTATTAATTTCTAATTCCATTACTCTGACTCTGCCAACTCTCTACTTCATATAACCTTTATACTATTTAACATTGTGAGTTATACACAAGATATGAGCACATGAGCTTCTTCCACTTATAAAATTGTATAAATAATTTTTTTCCTTCCCTTTTGAGCCAATATTAAGCAGAAAACACTTAAGACAATCTTGCATCCATTAAATAAGTAAAAATTATCCTTTTATTCTACACACACAAATATTACTCATAAGTTTCAACTACTAAATGATGCAAAAAATATATAGAGTATACCTGCACAGTGTGTGTTCCATCATCTTACAACTTAATTCATTCAAAATGCAATTAATGCATACATGTTGGACTATTACATACTAAAACCAAAAAAAACTAATGATAAATTAGACACATGTGCAACACTTGGTTATCTTTAATGAGGAAACGTTTCACCACATAGTAGCTTCATCAGTCCATACAAAGGAGAATGGTGAGGAACAGGAGGAGTTTAAGATAATCAGTCCCTCAGCCTTGAGTCGATGTGATCAGTCCTTCAATTCTGAAAAGGATACAGCATATGTGCGAAGAAGTGGCTTATATACTGTAGGCAGGAGAGTTGCAGCAGTCGTAGGTGTGATACCACCTACGACTGCTGCGCCACTTCTTCACACATATGCTGTATTCTTTTCAAGATTGATGGACTGATCACATTGACTCAAGGCTGAGGGACTGATTACCTCAACCTTCTCCTGTTCTTCACCATTCTCCTTTGTGTGGACTGATGAAGCCACTGTGTGCCAAATTATTATTATAATAAAAAAGAAGCGCTAAACCACAACGGCTATACAGCGCTGCAGGGCAGGAAGGAAGCGAGAGTACCAGGTGGCAAAAGGGAGATGGGTGAGTAATAGGTTACGGAGAACAGCAAGGCAGTGGATGGTGAAAGGGTAGAGGGCAGCAAGAGATTGAGGTAGAAAGGGCTGAGGGGAGTGCGAAAGGTATCATCAGAGTTTGTGGGGTAAATCAGTCATTTTCAAGAAGTCAATGAGAGAGTCAGGATTAAAGGAGGGTCCATCAGCAAGAAGGGAAGGCAAAGAGAGAGTAGTAGAGCAGAGACAACGTTGGATGTAAATTCTGCGTGCTCATTGATAGAGAGGGCAGTCTAATAGAATGTGGCTAATTGATACTGGAACTTGACACTGCTCACAGAGAGGAACAGGGTGCCTCTCCATGAGACACCCATGAGTAAGATGAGTGTGGCCAATGCGAAGGCCGGAGAGAGTAGTCTCCCAACCTCGGCACTGATGACAAGAAGACGGCCAGTAACCTATGCTCGGTTTAATAGAGTGAAGTTTGTTACCAAGCAGAGTTGACCAACGTTGTTGCCAACGGGTATGAAGGTGGGTAGCTATTACAGCAAAATAGTCCAGAAATGGAACACCTCTATATGAAATTGGTAGGTCATGTACTGCTGACCGCGCAGCAGTGTCTGCCTGTTCATTGCCCTGTACGTCAACATGACCAGGGACCCAACAAAAAACAATATATTTATGACTGGTAGAGATATAGTGTAGCCAAAGTTGGATACGGAGAACTAGGGGGTGAGGTGTATCAAATTTCCGTATAGCCTGTAGAGCACTAAGGGAGTCTGAGACTACCACAAATGATGACACAGGCATAGATGCGATACGAATAAGTGCTGCAAGAATGGCATACAATTCAGCAGTAAAAATGCTAGCCGAAGATAGTAAATGTCCTCACACGACGCTGTCCGGAAACACTGCTGCGAATCAGATGCAGTCAGAAGACTTAGAGCCATCTGTGTACACTGCGATGGCATGAGAATGAGAGTGGAAGTGGTCAAGAAAAAGAGAGCGGGAAGCCACCATAGGAAGTTGGGCTTTCGAGCAAGGGAGTGAGAAAGAGACCCGAACAACTGGAACTTCCCAGGGGGGTAGGGAAAAGTGAGATGCTACATGAACATATAAAGGTGGTAACTGGAGGGAAGACAAGAGTGAATGTAGGCGAAGAGAGAAGGGACGGAGCAAACAGGGGCGGCGAACAAATAATGTCTACTAATATCGGTGACCATTCTATAAATGGAAGGATTGCGGAGATCGTGAGAGCGTACATAGTAGCAAAGGCAATGGGCATCACAGCGATCAGACAAGGATGGAACATTCGCTTCTGCATAGAGGCTCTCAACAGGGGAAGAGCAAAAAGCTCCAAGGCATAAACGTAATCCTTGATGATGGATGGGGTTAAGGCTAGAGAGAGTAGCAGGAGAGGCCGCTGAATAGCTCTGGTCACCATAATCGATTTTCGATAAAATGAGGGCTGAATGTAGGCGAAGCAGAGTTCGACGATCAGCTCCCCATGAAAGATGAGCAAGGGTTTTAAGAAGGTTCAGCCGGCTGTGACAAGTTGCCTTCAGAGAGGTAATGTGAGGTTTCCAGGATAACCTACGGTCAAAGAGAAGGCCTAGAAATCTGACTGTGTCATGTTCAGGGATACGGGAGCCATAGAGGTACAAAGGATGATCGGAGATGACAGAGCGTCTAGTGAAAGTAATTTGGTGAGTTTTGGTACTGGAAAATTTAAACCCATGCGTGGTGGCCCAATTGGAAACACGGTCGACCGCATGCTGGAGAGAAACTGTAATGAGGCGACAGTCAGCGCCTGCACCAAAATGTTTCCTCATTAACCCTTTGAGGGTCGACAGGCCCTCTCCGAAACTCGTTCTCAGGGTCGGCCAAATTTAAAAAAAAAAATTATTTTCTCTTATGAAAGGATAGAGAATCTTTTTCCGATCATAAGGACACCAAAAGTTTGAAATTTGATGGAAAACTTACGGAATTATGCTCTTGCAAATTTAGCGGTCTCGGTGATGTTTACGCATCGGCGATTTTGCCCACTTTGAGCCCCATTTTCGGCCAATTGCACTGTACTAGTCGACAAAAAACATGAATATTTCGCTAGAACTCCATTTTTTCTATCGAATGGGTGCAAGAAACCACCCATTTATGAATTTCAACTATCCAGTACAGTGGTCAGAATTTAGCAATTTTGCCAATTTCACACAAATTTCAAAAGATGCCAATTTCCGAATAGGGTTCAGAATAAACAAGAAAGACATTCCTGGCACTAAAATGACATTTCCTCTGGTCATTAGTCACGTCTCAAGGCCCCTCTTATATTAATTTGCTTTCCACTTTGAATTTTTATTCTCACAAAAAATATAAGATTTACTGTTATGCAGACTACTGCATTAGTGTAAAAAATGGTATAAATATTATTGGAGCACTTGAGAAAGAATATTAGACTCACCAGTTGACGTGTATTGCACGCTTGGCACGATTTGTTTACTTTTGAAATTTGGTAAAAATCGAACATTTCTGCTACTTTGAGCTCAATTTCAAGGTACCTTTCATTGTAAAACCAGACAAAATCATCTCAATTTCTGTAATATGTCTTCCATTCTATAAAGTGAGACCAAGAAAACTAGAATACAACAATAAATACCATATGAAAATACAGTGCAAAGTCGCTGTTTTATTCCAAAAAAATGGTAAAAGTTTTTTTTTTCTCATTATGCACTGTGTGCTGCAGGATTTTTTTTTAGACTGTGCACACTGACCACATAGACCCATTCTTTCATATGAAGGCCTACCAGCTTTCTCCCACTAGATTTGAGGGCGCTAGAATTTAGGCGTACTAGTACGTCAAAAACCCTGGGTCGTAAGCCGTACTAGTACGTCCGAAACCCTCAAAGGGTTAATGATAACCAAGTGTTGCACATGTGTCTAATTTATCAATTTGTCAGTTCTCTGAACCATTCATCTACAAAACTAATGATTCACATCATTAGCCTTGTTCAACAGCATCCTGTGATGTACAATATAATCACACTCTAATCCTAAGTTTGCGACAAAAGGTATGTATACTATGGATAGTCAGTCATTTGCTACACAGTTCTTCATATTTAAAAAATTATACAATATGCTAGTAACTCTTAATCTAAGAATTAAAATCTTGCCTCACAAAAAATTTAAAATATGTAACTTTCTTAACTGAGGATAAAGGACAAAACAGCTTACTTGATCACAGTGTTCAAATCTCTTAATGTATATATATAATGCTTGTAGTACTTGCCCCTCTAACTAGAAATTAACATTATCCTTAGGTATGCTTACGGAAAAAAAAAAAAACATATCACTAAAGTACAAGTTCCTCGTAATATGTGTCAAATATTGTGATTAAATCTCGCTGGCAATGATATGTGACATTAGAGTGACAAGTACAGTACATGGTTGAGGTGTTGTGTGTTTCTTGTTACTGTACCTCAACACAACAACTGTTGCAAACTATGAGTGAAATACATTACAAATATATATCATGAAAAAAATTAGATGTCATCTTGAGCAAATTATATATGCAGCAAGCTCTTTTGAAATGCCACTGTTTTGGATTCCAAAGCTACCACTAAGAAAAATAAATGTAAAGTGACATAACCTCATTTTTCAAAATGTCTGATAAATACGTATATTAAATACTAAAGCATGGTTTAGGAGATTTAGAAAGCCATAAAAGTAAGTATTCTATGTAGATATTACTCCAATTTGATAATTTTAGTTTGAGGAAATTGTACAGCACACATTAAAAATAGTGTTACTTATATGGCATTTAAAAAATATAATATATACATATGAAACATTTAAGATGTAAACATTAAACAATCTTACATCCATATACATATATATGCACACATACCCTGTACAGTGGACCCCCGCATAACGATCACCTCCGAATGCGACCAATTATGTAAGTGTATTTATGTAAGTGCGTTTGTACGTGTATGTTTGGGGGTCTGAAATGGACTAACCTACTTCACAATATTCCTTATGGGAACAAATTCGGTCAGTACTGGCACCAGAACATACTTCTGGAGTGAAAAAATATCGTTAACCGGGGGTCCACTGTATATATTTTGTCTATATATACAGTACTGTTTATATAATATATATACATTTACAATGTCAGTTTTTTAGAAAAACATACTATATTTTTAGTATACAGTTATAATCAGACAGCTGGTTGTTATCTCTTAACACTGAGAATTTTTGTAAGGTACAGTAGTTCAAAGCTTACTTCAATGTTGTACTTTGTCTATTCAAAGTCCTCTAATTTTCAAATTACACTGTTCCTTTTGTTCACAGTTTGCTCCAGAACTCTTTAGTCATTATTTAGGAAGCCAACGAGTTCTAGGTACACTGTGCAACACAGTTTTATCACTGAATGCTAACAGTAATATGTTCTTCAATAAATGGAAGGCATGGAAGTTTTCAACATTCATCGCATAAAGAATTCTAACACTGGTCTGAAAAACTATGTAAACAGAGTTCAAGAAGAAACTTGATGGCACTTTCAGGTCATATAATCACAGACTGTTCAGTCTTCCAAGAGCACAAGGAAGCATTATCACCAGAAATCGTCACACAATAAATTTCTTTTAGATCACAGTTATCGTGTATCAGACGTGAGAAACATTAATTTGGCTGATAGTATGCGATTCTCTTGACGATCTTGTAGAGGCAACTGACCTGGAGTGAGATGGAGACTGCTTTCTGTTTGAGCGTCCCCGCGATGAAGACCTCGTACGAGAGGCCGATCTCTTTCTAGACGTAGACCTTGCTCGAGATGTTGACCTCCTTTTAGATGATCTTCCCCGGGAGGATGACCTCTTGCGAGAAGTTGATCTTTTATGAGTAGGTGTTGTGGTCTGAGCGCTGAGTGGGACGGATGTTGGTGCACTTGAACAAGGTCCTGGTGCTTCATTCTGCTGATACAATAAATGAGAGGATAAAGACAAAAAAAAATTGCTTTTTCTCTCCATAACTATATTTAGATACTTTATTTCTTGATCTTAAGAGGAAGTCATAACAAAATAAAATGTTGGGAAAAGACAAAATGCAATCACTAGGGCATTTTATTGGAAACGTTTTGGTTCTGGGACCTCCAAGATCCAATAGAGTTTGATTTTTGTTTCAACAACCTTGTTGGTATCATGTACTATTTTTACTATAGTTTATTGCAGCAAAATTAAATTATATACTGTTCACTTTCAAGAGTAATTTAGTAACTTACCTCATCAAAAGTAACTGTGTATACACAATCTGTGGCACTATTCACATTGGTAGGTTCTTTGCTTTCCATTCCAGCTTCAACATCTATGGTTCCTAAGGCACTATGAGTACTTACAGCATCACTAAAATCCTCAGAACATACAGATGATACTTCAATATCATTTTTGTTTGTATTATCACAAATATATCCGGAATTTTCAGCTTCGTTCACGGGCGTTCCTGTACATAAAATAGACAGTGTTACTGTAATACCAGACAGCAGTACAGTACAGATTCATGGAGTATACAAATAGTGTAGTGATTAGGAGAGAAAACAAATTTCAAGCATTTGTTTAAGATGTCTACCCCCTCAAGGGAGGTTCCTTGATGCTGGTGAGGGGCTCTTGATCTAGAGAATGGGATCTGTGCTCCAGTTCCCTCAATTAAGCCTGAATGCCTTCCATCATTCCCCCCCAGGCGCTGTATAATCCTATGGGTTTAGCGCTTCCCCATGATATTATTATAATCATGGTGGAGCACTAAACCCATAGGATTTCCCATGATTATAATAATAATAATTAAGATGTTTATTTCTACACAAAGTTGCCATAACTTCAAGCTTGTCCAAAGATCCTGCGACAACTTGCTGCAGAAAATGATGAATAATTGTCAGAAAAAGTGCTAACCCCAATAAAGGTGTTGAAATAGTATTTAACACTTTCACTGTCATGACCCCCAAAATTAAGTGTTGATAAGTATCATGATTTTTAAAAAAAAAAAATATTTTTGAAATGGTAGAGAATCTTTGTCTAAGGTAATGATGCCAAAAATTCAAAAATTTATGGAAGTATGCAGGCACAAAATTGGCAATCTGATCAGTAGTTTCATGCACTATAAGTCCTATTTTAAGTCAGTTCTACTGCTCAATTTAATCCAAATCCAAGTTATTTCATCAGCCTTCCATTCTACTGACTGAGCACAAGAAACTACCCATTCAGTTATCAGAACTATCCTATAAGTGCATAGAATTCTGTAATTTGGTGAATTTTAAACAAAATTCAACAAATTCCAATTATAAAACAGTCCAAAATAAACACTGGAGGCACCAAAGCAACCTTACTTCAGTACATTAATCACATTCCAGGACTCTTATATAACACTTCCCACCATCTGGAATCCATCACACACAAAAAAAATAACGTTTCATCTCCCGGATTAATAACCAAGAATGTTTAGCTATGATTTAGACCGTCCCAATACACTGAAGCAGACCTATTAAAAATCCTTAAAACAGACTTGGAGGTAGGGGAAGCCCCCTACCCTTCTGCAAGATTTTTTTTTCAGGCAAAAAAATCTGAAATTTCTACCAATTTGAGGCTTATTTCAAGCTACTTTGCAGCACCAGCAACAGCCAATAAAACTATAAAAGCACCTCAAAGTCACTATTTTAAACCAAACACAAGGTCAGGGGTTTTGTTTTTCACATGCACTGCATTACAAAGGTTGTTTTTATATGGTCTAGCCCAAAGTTTACCACTTGCAACATATTTGAGGGCACTGAGATTAAGACTTAGATTTATATGAGCACTGTCTCCCACATAGATGTATGTGGGAGATAGTGAAAAAGTTAATTTTAAACCAGTACAAAAAAAAAAAAGAGAGAAAAGGGACAGAATGCTTCAAAAGCTGTGGACTGTCTCCTTTCTTAAGCTAAACACTAATTATAGTGTAAACATGTAATAAATGGTCTTAACTTTAATTCTGTTTACAATTGCATACATGTATTTCTCTGTAAAGGATCCACTACTGTTCAAGACTCTATGAACATAGGCAAACCTTGATGCCTTCTCACTGAAATTCCTTACTCTCACTATGAAACAAGATCTTAATGCTCAACCCTTTCTTTCTTCCAGGAATGTGCCTTTTCAACATGAAATGTGATCTTAATTCTCAACTCTTTTCCCTCTTCAAGGGGTGTCTCATGCCTTTGGAAAGGGGCTCTTGATCCTAGGAACTGGACCTTGTCTCTCCTTCCTAGGACTGACTCCAAAGACTACCCTCCCCCTCCCCCAACCTCTCCATTTGACTTAAAAACAATGTGTGCATGACCCTTTCTGGTTTAGTGCATTTTGTAATTTTTTTTTTTTCAACAAGTTGGCCGTCTCCCATCAAGGCAGGGTGACCCAAAAAAGAAAGAAAATCCCCAAAAAGAAAATACTTTCATTATCATTCAACACTTTCACCACACTCACACATTATCACTGTTTTTGCAGAGGTGCTCAGAATACAACAGTTTAGAAGCATATACATATAAAGATACACAACATATCCCTCCAAACTGCCAATATCCCAAACCCCTCCTTTAAAGTGCAGGCATTGTACTTCCCATTTCCAGGACTCAAGTCTGACTATATGAAAATAACCGGTTTCCCTGAATCCCTTCACTAAATATTACCCTGCTCACACTCCAACAGATCGTCAGGTCACAAGTACCATTCGTCTCCATTCACTCCTATCTAACATGCTCACGCACGCTTGCTGGAAGTCCAAGCCCCTCGCCCACAAAACCTCCTTTACCCCCTCTCTCCAACCCTTTCGAGGACGACCCCTACCCCGCCTTCCTTCCCCTACAGATTTACAGTAGAACCTCAAAAATCGAACTTACTCCGTTCCAGGAGCTAGTTCTAAATTCAAAAAGTCTGAAATTCGAAGCAATATTTCCCATAAGAAATAATGGAAATACAATTAATCCGATCCAGAAACCCAAAAAATATTCACACAAAAAATACATTTTATAGAGATTAATTACCACATTAATTACTTAATTAATTACCACATGAAATATACATTTTCCTACACACAAAGAGAAGGATACATGCACAATAGTAGAGTAGTACATGCACAGTATATATTGTGCATGTACTACTCTACTAAATGAAGAATAAATGACACTTACCTTTATTGAAGATGCAGCAATGACTGATGAGACACTGTGTCCTGGGAGTGCCTTTTCCTCCTGAGTACTGTAGGTCCTGTTTGGTATTTTCTTCCAGAACAGGCCTTATCACACTGTGTATGTCACTACGATTCTTAAATCTCTCAAACCAACCTTTGCTGGCTCTAAATTCACCAATATGAGCACTAGTTCCAGGCATTTTCCCTGTTCACCTGGGTGTTAGTCGACTGGTGTGGGTTGCATCCTGGGAGACAAGATTAAGGACCCAATGGAAATAAGTTAGACAGTCTTCGATGACACTGACTTTTTTGGCTATCCTGGGTGGCAAATCCTTGGGGTTAATTGTTTCTTGGTATTCTCAATAAGCCACACCAACAACGGTGCTACAGCAGCAGCAGCAGCTGACGGTGGTACAGCAGCAACAGACGATGCTACAGCAGCAGCAGACGATGCTACAGCAGCAGCAGACGATGCTACAGCAGCAGCAGACGATGCTACAGCAGCAGCAGACGATGCTACAGCAGCAGCAGACGATGCTACAGCAGCAGCAGACGATGCTACAGCAGCAGCAGACGATGCTACAGCAGCAGCAGACGATGCTACAGCAGCAGCAGACGGTACTACAGCAGCAGGAGCAGCTGACAGTGCAGCAGCAGCTGACAGTGCAGCAGCAGCTGACGGTGGTACAGCAGCAGCAGCACCTTCACCAATGAGCATGGTTGTTGTTACATTTCATACTGGCCACTCGGAGCAGCACTCACTTTCATACTATCATATCTTTTCTCACCCTTATTCTCACCCTTTCAGGGTTGGCACTAGAAGCTTTCTTGGGCCCATGGTCACTTATTTTCAGAAAAAAATCACCAAAAACACTGTAATAATACGAAATGTTCGATTGTATGCTTGGATGTTACCGCGGAGGCTGGCTTGGTAAACAATGCCACCGGCGGAACATGTGAGCGTGGCTCAGGCTGCACATTGACGCGTCTCGGACGATAGTGCTTGAGCGGTTTTTTTTGAGGCGCTATGCGAGGCAAAATTTTAGCGATAAAATGTATCGGTATGCGATTTAACGTTATGTGATGCCAACAGTATGCGGGGGTCCACTGTAATCGTAAAATGTGTGAATGAGAGCGCAGGTTAGTGTTCACTCAAGCATAAACAAAGCTAGACTGCTCACGGCGCCTGCGCAGGGACGCAGACAGAGCAGGCGGCAGACAGGTCCCGTACCCGGCGGTCCGAAAATAGGGGCGCGTTCGATAATAGGGACACAGTTTGTCCGAAAAAATGGTCCTGTTTTCGAAGCGTTCGATATGTGATACGTTTGATTTTTGAGGTTCCACTGTATATGCTTTCCATGTCATTCTACTTTGATCCATTCTCTCTAAATGACCAAACCACCTCAACAACCCCTCTTCTGCCCTCTGACTAATACGTTTATTAACTCCACACCTTTTCCTAATTTCCACACTCCGAATTTTTGCATAATATTTACACCCACATTGCCTTAACGGGAACATCCCAGCCTCCAACGTCTCCTTCGCTGTTTGCATTTACCACCAAGCTTTCAACACCAATACGAGTGTTGGTACTACTATACTTCCATACATTCCCTTCTTCGTCCATAGATAACATTTTTGACTCCACATAACTCATGCAACACACTTTTTTCCCTCATCAATTCTATGTAACCTCATCCTTCATAAATCCATCCGCGACACGTCAACTCCCAAGTATCTGAAAACATTCACTTCTTCCATATTCCTCCTCCCCAATTTGATATCCAATTTTTCTTTATCTAAATCATTTGATACCCTCATCACCTTACTCTTTTCTATGTTCACTTTCAACTTTCTACCTTTACACACATTCCCAAACTCATCCACTAACCTTTGCATTTTTTCTTTAGAATCTCCCATAAGCACAGTATCATCAGCAAAAAGTAACTGTGTCAATTCCCATTTTGAATTTGATTCCCCATAATTTAATCCCACCCCTCTCCCGAACACCCTAGCATTTACTTCTTTTACAACCCCATCTATAAATATATTAAACAACCATGGTGACATTACACATCCCTGTCTAAGACCTACTTTTACCGGGAAGTAGTCTCCCTCTCTTCTACACACTCTAACCTGAACCTCACTATCCTCATAAAAACTCTTTACAGCATTTAGTAACTTACCACCTATTCCATATACTACTTGCAACATCTGCCACATTGCTCCTCTATCCACTCTATCATATGCCTTTTCTAAATCCATAAATGCAATAAAAACTTCCCTACTTTTATCTAAATACTGTTCACATATATGCTTCTATGTAAACACTTGATCTACACATCCCCTACCCACTCTGAAACCTCCTTGCTCATCCACAATCCTACATTCTGTCTTACCTCTAATTCTTTCAATTATAACCCTACCGTACACTTTTCCTGGTATACTCAGTAAACTTATTCCTCTATAATTTTTACAATCTCTTTTGTCCCTTTTCTCTTTATATAAAGGGACTATACATGCTCTCGCCAATCCCTAGGTACCTTCCCCTCTTTCATACATTTATTAAACAAAAGTACCAACCACTCCAACACTATATCCCCCCTTGCTTTTAACATTTCTGTCATGATTCCATCATTTCCAGCTGCTTTACCCCCTTTCATTCTACGTAATGCCTCACATACCTCCCCCACACTTACATTCTGCTCTTCTTCACTCCTAAAAGATGGTATACCTCCCTGACCAGTGCATGAAATTACCGCCTCCCTTTCTTCCTTAACATTTAAAAGTTCCTCAAAATATTCTCGCCATCTACCTAATACCTCCATCTCCCCATCTACTAACTCCCCTACTCTGTTTTTAACTGACAAATCCATACTTTCCCTAGGCTTTCTTAACTTGTTTAACTCACTCCAAAATTTTTTCTTATTTTCATTAAAATTTCTTGACAGTGCCTCTCCCACTCTATCATCTGCTCTCCTTTTGTACTCTCTCACCACTCTCTTCACCTTTCTTTTACTTCCATATACTCTGCTCTTCTTATAACACTTCTGCTTTGTAAAAACCTCTCATAAGCTACCTTTTTCTCTTTTATCACACCCTTTACTTCATCATTCCACCAATCACTCCTCTTTCCTCCTGCCCCCACCCTCCTATAACCACAAACTTCTGCCCCACATTCTAATACTGCATTTTTAAAACTATTCCAACCTTCTTCAACCCCCCCACTACTCATCTTTGCACTAGCCCACCTTTCTACCAATAGTCGCTTATATCTCACCCGAACTTCCTCCTCCCTCAGTTTATACACTTTCACCTCCCTCTTACTTGTTGTTGCCACCTTCCCCTTTTCCCATCTACCTCTTACTCTAACTGTAGTTACAACTAAATAATGATCCGATATATCAGTTGCCCCTCTATAGACATGAACATCCTGGAGCCTACCCATCAACCTTTTATCCACCAATACATAATCTAACAAACTACTTTCATTACATGCTACATCATACCTTGTATATTTATTTATCCTCTTTTTCATAAAATATGTATTACTTATAACCAAATCTCTTTCTACACATAGCTCAATTAAAGGCTCCCCATTTACATTTACCCCTGGCACTCCAAATTTACCTACTACTCCCTCCATAACATTTTTACCCACTTTAGCATTGAAATCCCCAACCACCATTACTCTCACACTTGATTCAAAACTCCCCACGCATTCACTCAACATTTCCCAAAATCTCTCTCTCTCCTCTACACGTCTCTCTTCTCTAGGTGCATACACACTTATTATAACCCACTTTTCACATCCAATCTTTATTTTACTCCACATAATCCTTGAATTAATACATTTATAGTCCCTCTTTTCCTGCCATAGCTTATCCTTCAACATTATTGCTACTCCTTCTTTAGCTCTAACTCTATTCGAAACCCTTGACCTAATCCCATTTATTCCTTTCCATTGAAACTCTCCCACCCCCTTCAGCTTTGTTTCACTTAAAGCCAGGACATCCAGGTTCTTCTCATTCATAACATATCCACAATCATCTCTTTTCTTATCATTTGCACAACATCCATGCACATTCAGACTTCCCACTTTGACAATTTTCTTCTTCTTATTCTTTTTAGTAATCTTTACAGGAAAAGGGGTTACTAGCCCATTGTTCCCGGCATTTTAGTTGACTTTTACAACACGCATGGCTTACGGAGGAAAGATTCTTATTCTACTTCCCCATGGGTATAAAAGGAAAAGTAATAAGACCAAGAACTATTAAGATAAAATCAAAGAAAACTCAGATGAGTGTGTATAAATAAACATGTACATGTATGTGTAGTGTGACCGAAGTGTAAGTAGAAGTAGCAAGACATGCCTGTAATCTTGCATATTTATGAGACAGACAAAAGACACCAGCAATCCTACCATCATGTAAAACAATTACAGGCTTTCGTTTTACACTCACTTGGCAGGACGGTAGTACCTCCCTGGGTGGTTGCTGTCTACCAACCTACTACATACAGTAATACAGTAATGTCTCTCACAAGCTTCTCTATATAATGCAATTTTTCATAAATGCAATTGAAAAAGTACATCCAAAATAGAATGGCTCATGGAAAGGCCTTCTTAGCACATGTTATTCAATTTTTGAAGCACTTTTTCAATCTTATTTACAAAAAATTTCTATATACAGCCTCTCCTCACTTAACGACAGAGTTCCATTCCTAAGACCACATTGGTAAACGAATTCATCGCTAAGTGAGGAGCATATTATAATGGTAGCTGGTTTGTGTCAACTATCTTTGATATTGTTTTAATGTCACCTTTGCACCATTTATAACATTTCTGGTATATTTTTAAACATTTATACAGTAGTGTACTGTATATTTTAATAAACAGAATGGAAATCAGCTCTAATATACGTTATTTAGGCATGCATACTGGTGAGAGAGCCCATCGTAAGTCCGAGGTGTCAGTAAACGAGTACGTAACTAAGTGAGAAGAGGCTGTATACAGGAACTTTATGATAGCTCACTGCAATAATTACTGTAATACCCAACTTATGATCTTATTAAGTTATAAAATAATTAATAAAATATTTGTTACCTTTACCTGTATCTAACTGAGGTGTTGGAGGATTTGATGATTGTGTCATCGGTGACGATGGAGCAACCTGACTAGAATGTGAGAGTCTCGAAAAAGGTGAGGTCCGAGTTCTTGCTGAGCTAATCACTGAAAATATACTTGATGAAGTAGCAGCACTTTGTGGCTGATGGACGGGTGAGATGGGAGTATCAGGGACAGGAGACCCTGACCAAGCTTCACATGCTGCGTTCACATTTGACGCCTCAGCTTGTGCCACAACCATACCCTGAAGTAGGTGAAGCATTGCTATTTAGGAGCCATGAAAATGTTTAAGTTACATCACACTGAAGTAGGAATAGTTAAGACTGTACCTATCTACAAGAAATTACACTGCAAATGAAGCTCCAACAATCTGCAAGAATTCTTAAAAACTCTATATCAAAATGTCATTGTTGAGAGAAAACCCCCACACATGAGAGAGTGCTGATTTTGGCCTCCACTAAGGTCATCTTCAGCATATACAAAAAAGTGAATAGGGAACATGTTTATATAGGTAAAGGAGGGTTGACACTTTGGGTAAGGGGTTATGTCAACTGATCTAGCATGCTTCCTCTTTCTTAGATCCGAACTGATTGCCTCCCATTTCCCCCATGAGCTGTATGGCCCAATACCCAGCCCCAAGAACTACAATCTATACTCATACTAACACACTTTTCCTGTATAAATGGGCTCCCTGCTTCTTTTATAGCCTACTGGAGAGAACCTTAGTTATAAGTCGAAACATATGGCCAATCTGTTTCATGTAGTTTAATTAACTTGTGGGTTTTCTCAGCCTAACCAGGAACCCCGATTTCAATAACTTAAACAAAAAATGTTGACTGTTTAATGAGTATGTTTCTTCTTAAATTTGGCAAACCATGAAAGATAATTGATGAACAAAAAGTCCCTTGTAAATTTGATGATCTGAAGCTACGTTAATCTGGATATGAAAGAAGCATAAAGTACCCATTTAATAATAAGAGATGTGTATGTGTGAGTACAGTGATAGCTGGAGTTTCTGAGCATGGGTCAGTATGCCTACTGAGTAAGTGTAAGTGTAAGAGAGAGAGAGAGAGAGAGAGTGTGTGTGTGTGTGGGGGGGGGGTGGAAAGAAAGAGGTTTATGAAGGCAAAAGGGGAATGTACCAGGATGTGAGGCATGGGCTTTGAACACTGCAGCAAAAAGTTGGAGAAAGTGAAAATGTTATGCTTGAGTACAATGTGTAGTATAAATATAATGTAAAGAATTCAGAGTGAGGAGAGTTTGTTGAGGTGGTTTGGGTATTTAGAGAGGATGAAGCAGAACTGGATGACCAAGAGAGTGTATAAATCTGGGGTGGAAGGAAGAAGGGGTAGGAGTCATCCCAGAAAAGAGGGAGGGGGGGGAGGGGTTAAAGTTTTGAGTGCTAAGGGCTTGAACCTCTAACATGCTTGGATGAGCGTGTTCAGTACGATAAAGTGGAGGAAAGTGGTTTTTATGGCTTGACATGCTGTTGGAGTGTGAATAAGGTACTGTAACAATTATGAAGGGAAACAGGTTACCTGGACTTGAATCTTGGTGGTGGTAAGTATAGTGCCTGCATTCTGAAGGAGGGGTGATGATGATGTAGTTCAGGTCATTTGAATTGTGATATCTACACATCTCTGGCAAAACAGCTATTGAATGAGTAATAGTGATTTTTCTTAGGGTGGGGAATCACTCTAGTGTGTGATGCCCGGTGTGATTCACTTACACATACACACGACCCCTGCAGCCACAATTTGGCGAGTACACACACACACAAAATACAGAGGTCGCAACAAGACTAGTCCCGGAGCTAAGGGTGTATGTCCTATGAGGAGAGGTTAAGGGAAATTGACCTGACAACACTGGAGGACAGGATAGGGGGGGGGGATATGATAATGACATAAAATACTGAGAGGAATCAACAAGGTGTACAGAGACAGGATGTTCCAGAGATGGGACAGCAACTAGGAGTCACAATTGGAAGCTGAGGACTCAGGTGAGTCATAGGGATGTTAGGAAGTATTTCTTCAGTCATAAGAGTTGTCAGGAAGTGGAATAGTCTGGAAAGTGATGTAGTGGAGGCAGGATCCATACATAGCTTTAAGAAGAGGTATGATAAAGCTCATGGAGCAGGAAGAGTGACCTAGTAATGACCAGTGAAAAGGCAAGGCCAGGAACTGTGAATTGACCCCAGCAACCACAATTAGGTGAGTACAAATACACACACTCCTGAGGCCACTTTAATATGCTGTTAACAGTACGTCCTCTCTATTTTTATTACTAAGTAATTCTCGTGAAGAAATAGTTGAATGCTGCATCTAATGATGATGTCTCACCTGGAATAATAATGATGCTGAAGGTGTTTAGTGTGTATGTTGTTACTCAGCTTGGTCAGTAGCTCAGTGGCAGACCGTTCTGCTCACGGCTGAAAGTACCCGGGTTCGATTCCCAGGTAGGTTATGCCGTATATACAAGTCTCCTTACACTTCCTGCCCATATTCACCTAGAAGTGAACAGATACTTGGATCAATACACAAATAGCCCACACATAAGAAAGAGAAACGTTCTAAGATTTTTCTCTCTGTGTGCGGGTTATCTATATATTGTTCCTGTCACGGTATTGTACCTTGTTCTTTTAGATATTTGGATGTTAGTAGACTTTTGTGCGTCGCATCCTAGAAGAGGACACATGGAAATAATCTCCGGTATTTACCTTTATTGGGTTACCCTTAGCTAATAATCCTAAAAAGGGGTCTTGTAGATAGGTAGTGGAGTGACTGACCTGAGAGTCAGGAGTGGTGTGAGGATTAGCAGGTGCAGGAGGCGGTGTTGGGAGCCTTGCCTCTGCCTCTCCACCAGAGGTGTCGTCCAGTACATCCACCTGCAGCACACTTTCTTCACTGTCACTTAGCTGCAAGTATACACTCCATGAAGCTCTTAAACTGATAAACCGTTTTAAATTATCATTACACTCATAACTAAGCGTTTTAAAGGTATTGTATATTATCACTATTTCAATAATCTGTCAACATCAATATTCCTTGTACTGTAGTTCTTGTAAAATATAAATTATAACTTTTGACGTTATCAATATATTCTTACACTGCTAATTTTCAACTGATGACACTTATTCTCTCCAGTCCAATAAATATATGTAAATTAATTTAGCACCTACTAGGGCCCGTGTGTTTTACAAGCACGTATACTTTGGTTGACCTTAGACAAGCTGAGTATGGTTAAGCAATATTAAATGACACTATGCTTAGCAATGTTCTGTTAGAAGGATGCTAAATTTGTTTTGGTACAAAGTTAAAATCTTGCCTACCATGTGAATTCACTTAAGTATACCTACTAATGTGTATGAGGAAATTGTTCATGCTGTGTGCGTAACTTATTGCAACACTGACACCTTGCACAGTATAAAATATACTGCTGAAGCAAACACAGTGGTTCAATATTTAGGCATGGAGAACACGCGTATGCAGAAATATGTAATAGAAATGTTTAGCGTAAGGTTACGGAAACTGAGTACAAAGAAGCTCTAGGCATGACAGTACTCATGAAACAACGTAAGTCCAGCTACTAAGATAGACTGAGTATAAATAAGCTCTAAGGCATGACAGAACTCATGAAATTACGGAAGTCCAGTTACTAACTAGGATAGACGGAGTACAAAGAAACTAGGCATGGTAGTACTCATGTCAGATACAACAGATACAACACAGGAGACTCAACAATGTTCTCAAAAGACTGTCTACCCGAGTAAGTCAGCAGATCCACAAGAAATACACATCAAAACTCCCACTGAGTATACGCATTAAAAAAAAAAACAAAAAAACTAGAGCCACGTGTGTCATACAACGCTGCATAACAAAGCAAGAACCACGTGGGTCATACAGAGATGCATGACAAAGCTAGCAGATCCACGTGGGTCATACAGCGCTGCATAACAAGGGTGTTGACGTTAGGGAGAAGACATACGGAGGATGCACAAAAGTGATAAGGAGGAAGATATAGTTAATGCAACATGTTACTTCTTGTAGATTCCAGAGGTCATCGCCCTCACCAGAGGCCGCTACCAGCTAGTTTCCGTTTAGAAACTACGAATCTGCATTTAAGGAGTCTTTAAAGGAGAAGAAGGAGGATGGAGGCAGTCACAGTAAGAGCCTCAGGGAGCCGAGAGGTTATACAGTATATGAGGTGCACTGTGCATTCTCAAAACCATGATTAATAAAATGTTATGAATGTCAGAACACACTGGCTATTTTCAGAGGATTTGTCAAGCTGCCTGTTACCTGACAGCTCTCACCGGCCCTCACCAGGATTTATATACCGGCAAAGCAAAGGCTATCCCTGTCAGAATCTCCTGCTCTAGCGATGCAAGTCTCGCCAGAGGCACTTCTACCAAGAGAATTCTGTCCTGATTGCTATACTTCGGGACAACAATACCATCCTCTCCAGGTCAAAGTTAAAGATTTATTTCCACGTGATACAATGTATGTACAGAGATGGATGACATTAGGTTGTGCATGCAGAGAGTTCAGTATCTCATCCCTGCTATGACCTCATCTCTCAGATCCCTTGTTATCATTGCTCTCTCGCTTCCGCAGCTGACTTCTCTAACGAATCCTCCAGCAATGATTGATATCTCAAGTCAATCCTGCACCTGCCCATCCCATCTCTACTCTCAACCCAGTTGGTTAGTTGATACGTAATACTCTTGTCTGTCATATCGTGGGTTACTCCAGATACACGAAGAATGATAGCCGACTTCAGTCTGGTGTTTACTGTACATAGAGAGATCCTACCTTCAAACAACCCCCCCCCCTCCTTCCCAGCGACAGCGGTTAGTCACAGGCTGTCTCGCCTGGCGTCTCTTAAGAAAAAATATTGCATACACAGTACTAACAATATACATTCTGGTTACATAAACACTGACAAATGAGGTTCAAAAGTCTCGAGTACATAAGGGTCATAAGGCTGCATGTCACCTGTCCACGACCAGTCAAGAATACTTTAATCACTAAGGTACTGAAGTGATCAGGCCAGTGGCTTGGTAAGTCTAGTACACAGACCGGTGGAAGACGAGGAGGTTGAGGCAATCAGTCCCTCAGCCTGGAGATGTGTTCAGTCCATCAATCTTGATAAAAGTATAGCATATGCGTGGAGAGGGGACATACTCAGACAACTGAAGTGTATTGGACTGAAGAAGCCAGTGGTTGACAACACGTTCCCACACTGAAGATATCTAAGTGTCACACAAGTCACACTCATCAACTTGTCGGTTATCTATACAATTTATATAGTAATACTTTAATACCTAAAATACGGAATAAGGTAAATTCTCAGCGCACATGCACTGAGACACACCTCTCGGTGTATACTTCCTGTGATGTCAACCAGGTAGTAACCACTTCATTTTCGGTGGTTGTTTACACAACACGTCTTGCTCCCATACAAAAATGAAGGAGCACTGCAAAAGGCAGACAGGTCCAACTCACCCACCCACGCCCTCATGTACCCATCCAATCTATATTTAAAGCTACCCGAAGTTCTTGCCTCAAAGACGTTACCTGGGAGTTTGTTCCACTCGTCTACAACTCTACTACCAAACCAGTCCTTCCCTACAGCCTTTGTAAATATTTTTTTTTTCAAATTTAAATTCAGTGTGTCCTGTGTTAGAAACATGACATCGACTTTCTGGGCCAGCTGCCACACTATCTGCGGAATGCCATTGGCCCTACGTACAACACAATCTAAATACGAACGCATGATTCTCTACCCTCTCGTCTCGTGTTCGTATTTTTAACCCAGAGGGTTAGCCACCCAGGATAACCAAAGAAAGTGCATCATCGGGGACTGTCTTATTTCCATTGTTGTCCTTCAATCTTGCCCCCCAGGATGCGTTCCACACCAGTCGACTAACACCCAGGTAACTAGTTACTGTTAGGTGAACAGAGACAGCAGGTGTCAGGAAACGTGCCTAATGTTTCTACCCATGCCAGGGATCGAACCACGGGCACTCAGTGTGAGGCGAGTGCACTGCAAACCGAGCCACCGCAATGTTGTGCATCCTATTATTCCCTCCAGCACTATAACAGTTGGAACCAAGTGATGTACTACCAGCCATCACCAGTGAAGAAAATACACATTGATAAATAAGCTTTTATTAGAACGTTTTGCGTAGAGCTTCAATAAGCTCTACACAGCGAAACGTTGTCCTCAAGAAAGCTTGTTCTGCAACATTTGTTTTCTTCACAGCAAAGATTAGTAACACCCACCAAGCTTCATCAGAGATAATTTACGAACTTACTGTCAGGTGTTTATTAATGTTCCTCGTGTCCCCCTGAGTGTGTACAGCAGCTTGGTAGACTGGTACTAGTTTACCCTCCAGTGTCATTAAACCATCTTGACAGTCTATTAGTGTAACGTCTATCACTTAAGCAACCTGGTAGTGGCTATTGTTTGCTTAGCCACACACGTTGGCTCTTGTTAGCCAAAGATACATATTAATCTGTACATTAATAAAAATTCAAAGTGCGTGTAAAAATCAATACTAATTAAGTACATATACTAGCCATACAAAGTCCAATACGCCAATTTGATTTTTTTTAGTTACATATTGTAAACAAAAGCATGAATGTACCATTCCAAGGCTACGCTGTTTAATGTTGTTGCTCATCACTACGTGTAAAAAAGCCATGCACAACACTAGGATAATTTTCATTATGACAATATTTCTCTCCTGGAAGCTTTATCGATCCAGACATTGTTTTTTGTCTCCATAATGAAAATATCCTAGTGCTTGTAATTTGTATTAATTACATATATCTTTGATTCATGGCTGACTACACTTTCAATGTTCTACTGACAAGGGAACAAAAAATACTCAAGAGACTTTACAATTATCTCAAATTCCACCTCGTCCTCCATGGGCAACACGGTCTCTGTGCTGCCTGTCCACTGCACAATGTTGAGAAGTGATAATTAGTAGAAAGTTGAGCATGATGAAAGTAGGGGAGGTCGCTTGTCGTGCATTTAAACTGACAATCTCTTGATTCAAGGAATTTGAGCTACACTCCCCTTCACTGAAACCTAGTTAACTCCATATTAACTCATAATTCACACTGGATGTTATCGCCCACGACCCTTAATTAGTGCACAGTGAAGCAAATATTTTATGGACTAAAAGAAACATGAAATATCTACACTGAAGAACAAAATTTTAATGTTGACTGGAGTACACAGGTCCTGGAACCTGTGTACTCCAGTCCCCTGAAGGGAGGTTCTTTGACGCTAGTGAGGGGCTCTTGATCTAGGGAATCGGATCTGTGCTCCGGTTCCCCGAACTAAGCCTGAATACTTTCCATCCCCCCCCAGGCGCTGTATATTCCTACGGGTTTGACGCTCCCCCATGATTATAATAATGTGTACTTCAATAATTCAAATAATACATGAAACACTGGTTATCAAAGTAGCTAACAACATCAGAACTAAATCTCAGACATGAGCTGAGGTAAGTTAACACATCTTAGCCTGTGAACCCAACCGTACAAACAAAAATACGACAATGTCTCAAATGTTTAGCCACCTATCCTTCCCTTGAACCTGTCAGTATATTAAATTAGTAGGTAGGTATTAGGTTTGTCAGGAAACATGACAAGTGTTTCCTGACGCGGGTCTTACTCATGACCCGCAGCTGGAGCTTTTGGTCATGTGACAGAGGCCTTCCACTGGCTTACCCCTCCACCTTGTAAAAACTATGGTTATGATTATAACCATTTTGTTATATGTATTAAATTAGTGTTAATATAATACCTGGGTAACGTGGCATAACCTAAAAATTACAAGTAATAGAGTGAGTCTCTTACCCGGGTGGGTAACTTATTTGTAAATGTGTGTGTGTGTGTGTGTGTGTGTGTGTGTGTGTGTGTGTGTGTGTGTGTGTGTGTGTGTGTGTGTGTGTGGTGTGTGTGTGCGCGTGTGTGCGTGTGTGCGTGCGTGTGCATGTGTGTGCGTGCATGTGTGTGTGCATGTTAGTAACCATTTGGTCCTAGGCACATGTCGATTAGACACTTGGCCTGTTGTATGTGCATGCATGTGTGTGTGGTGTGTGTGCGTGGGTGTGCATGGGTGTGTGCATGTGTGTGCATGTGTGTGCGTGTGTGTGTGTGTGCGCGCGCGCGCGTGTGTGTGTGGTGTGTGTGTGTGTGTGTGTGTGTGTGTGTGTGTGTGTGTGTGTGTGTGTGTGTGTGTGTGTGTGTGTGTGTGTGTGCGCGTGTGCGTGTGTGCGTGCGTGTGCATGTGTGTGTGCGTGTGCGTGCATGTGTGTGTGTGCATGTTAGTTACCATTTGGTCCTAGGCACATGTCGATTAGACACTTGGCCTGTTGTATGTGCATGCATGTGTGTGTGCGTGTGTGTTCATGTGTGTGTGCATGTACTCACCTATTTGTACTCACCTGTTTGTGGTTGCAGGGGTCGAGTCCTAGCTCCTGGCCCCGCCTCTTCACCGGTTGCTACTAGGCCCTCTCTCTCCCCGCTCCATGAGCTTTATCAAACCTCGTCTTAAAACTGTGTATGGTTCCTGCCTCCACTACGTCATTTTCTAGGCTATTCCACTGCCTTACAACTCTATGACTGAAGAAATACTTCCTACTATCTCTCTGACTCATTTGTGTCTTCAACTTCCAATTGTGGCCTCTTGTTTCTGTGTCCCCTCCCTGGAACATCCTGTCCTTGTCCACCTTGTCTATTCCACGCAGTATTTTATATGTCGTTATCATGTCTCCCCTGACTCTCCTGCCCTCCAGTGTCGTCAGGCCGATTTCCCTTAATCTTTCTTCATAGGACATTCCCCTTAGCTCTGGAACTAACCTTGTCGCAAACCTTTGTACTTTCTCTAGTTTCTTGACGTGCTTTATCAAGTGCGGGTTCCAAACAGGTGCTGCATACTCCAGTATGGGCCTGACATACACGGTGTACAGTGTCTTGAACGATTCCTTACTAAGGCATCGGAATGCTGTTCTCAGGTTTGCCAGGCGCCCATATGCTGTAGCAGTTATCTGATTGATGTGTGCTTCCGGAGACATGCTCGGTGTTATACTCACCCCAAGATCTTTCTCCTTGAGTGAGGTTTGCAGTCTTTGGCCACCTAGCCTATACTCTGTCTGTGGTCTTCTGTGCCCTTCCCCTATCTTCATGACTTTGCATTTGGCAGGATTAAATTCGAGAAGCCATTTGCTGGACCAGGTGTCCAGTCTGTCCAGGTCTCTTTGAAGTCCTGCCTGGTCCTCATCAGATTTAATTCTCCTCATTAACTTCACATCGTCTGCAAACAGGGACACTTCTGAGTCTAACCCTTCCATCATGTCGTTCACATATACCAAAAATAGCACTGGTCCTAGGACCGACCCCTGTGGGACCCCGCTCGTCACAGGTGCCCACTGTGATACATCATTACGTACCATGACTCGTTGTTGCCTCCATGTCAGGTATTCTCTGATCCACTGCAGTGCCCTTCCTGTTATATGCGCCTGATGCTCTAGCTTCTGCACTAATCTCTTGTGAGGAACTGTGTCAAAGGCCTTCTTGCAGTCCAAGAAGATGCAATCAACCCACCCCTCTCTCTCGTGTCTTACTTCTGTTATTTTATCATAAAACTCCAGAAGGTTTGTGACACAGGATTTGCCTTCCATGAATCCGTGCTGGTTGGCATTTATACTCTTGTTCCTTTCCAGGTGCTCCACCACTCTCCTCCTGATAATCTTCTCCATAACTTTGCATACTATACACGTCAATGACACAGGTCTATAGTTTAGTGCCTCTTTTCTGTCTCCTTTTTTAAAAATGGGAACTACATTTGCCGTCTTCCATACCTCAGGTAGTTGCCCAGTTTCCAGGGACGTGTTGAAGATTGTGGTAAGTGGCACGCACAACATATCTGCTACCTCTCTAAGGACCCACGGGGAGATGTTGTCCGGTCCCATTGCCTTTGAGGTATCGATGTCCCTTAGCAGTTTCTTCACCTCCTCCTCATCTGTATGTATGTCGTCCAACACTTGTTGGTGTATTCCTTGCTGGTGTCCCCATCTGGTCTGTCCCCCCAGAGTCCTTCCTGTCTCTACTGTAAATACTTCCTCAAATCTCGTGTTGAGCTCCTCGCATACCTCTTGATCGTTTCTTGTGAGTTCTCCACCTTCTTTCCTCAGCCTTATCACCTGGTCCTTGACTGTTGTCTTCCTCCTAATGTGGCTATACAGCAGTTTCGGGTCAGATTTGACTTTCGATGCTATGTCGTTTTCATACTGTCGCTGGGCCTCCCTCCTTATCTGTGCATACTTGTTTCTGGCTCTTCTACTAATCTCCTTGTTTTCCTGGGTCCTATGCCTCCTGTATCTTTTCCATTCTCTGTTGCACTTAGTTTTTTGCCTCCCTACACCTTCGGGTAAACCAAGGACTCGTTTTGGTCTTCCTATTATTTCTGTTTCCCTTGGGAATAAACCTTTCCTCTGCCTCCTTGCACTTTGTTGCCACATATTCCATCATCTCGTTTACTGATTTTCCTACCATTTCTCTGTCCCACTGAACCTCCTGCAGGAAGTTTCTCATACCTGTGTAGTCCCCCCTTTTATAGTTTGGCCTGTCCCCTTCAGTTCCTGTTACCTTCTCCACTTGTAACTCTACTATATAATCAAAACTCAGGACCACGTGATCGCTAGCTCCAAGGGGCCTCTCGTAAGTGATGTCCTCAATGTCTGAACTGCTCAGGGTGAACACAAGATCCAGTCTTGCTGGCTCATCCTCCCCTCTCTCTCTGGTTGTGTCCCTGACATGTTGATGCATGAGGTTTTCAAGTACCACATCCATCATCTTGGCTCTCCATGTTTCGGGACCCCCATGTGGCTCCAGGTTTTCCCAGTCGATCTCCCTGTGTGTGTGTGTGTCGTGCCGAATAAGTAAATCTGGTCTATTAGCAAGAACTCGTTTAAAATTAAGTCCTTTCTAAAAAAAATTCTTATACGTTTAAAGATATATATATATATATATATATATATATATATATTTTCATTTATTTTAGTCAAAATTAATTTTGTATCAAAAGAACCTAAGAAAACTTACCTAACCTTATTATAATAAGCGCAATTTAATTAAGCCTAATCCAACTAAATATATTTTAGATAAGTTTACAATAATTTAATAATAAACAAACACAATGTAATATATTTTTTTCGTTAGGTTCAGAATGATTTTTGCGAAATTATTGCATACACAAATTTTCGCTTGACTTATTCGGCAAGAAGAGCGTCGCTATTTAAGCCCAAATCGCAAGTTTTACCTGTTCGGCACGACATACATATATAATATAATATATATATATATATATATATATATATATATATATATATATATATATATATATATATATATATATATATATATATAACGATGCTTGAAGGAGTTAATTCAAAATATGTAAATTTTCACTGAGTTACAATCAGGTTTATTCTTTTTAACAAACTGTTTAAATTATTATATTTCATTATTACATGAGAGCCAAAATATGACAAACTCAAACTGGCCACTTGATGCGACTGACATAACACTTGAGGCGACTGACATAACACTTGAGGCGACTGACATAACACTTGAGGCGACTGACATAACACTTCACATCAGCATAACACTGCTCTTCTACGTGAGTTTCAAGTCGCTAGTTTGTCTATTAACTAAAACTTACAACATATTCATTCCGTTCACCGGATCTTACAATGAATTCATACCATTCACCAGAACTTACGATATATCCGTAGAACTTGAGAATATCCATCTTACACATGGGACAAGTTCTGTGATCCAACAACCACGGGTCAACACAGTTCTTGTGGAACTCGTGCCTGTCAACAACACAGGGTAACCTTTTAATATAATAATAATAATAACACTAATAATAATAATTCATATAGTCATAAGTCTTTAATATATTTTAAACGTGTAGAATGTACCTATACTGTGGAATATTACCAGGAGAGAACATCTGAGTGTACAACACTCGTTCATGAGAATGAGAGAGAGAGAGAGAGAGAGAGAGAGAGAGAGAGAGAGAGAGAGAGAGAGAGAGAGAGAGAGAGAGACGTCTCATAAGATATACATACTTGCATGGTAAGGTCCTGACGGTGTCAGCCACCTGGTAAGGTTCGATGCAGACAGCGCAGCACTCGCAGTCTGCTGACACCTCCTGTAGAGCAGGAAAACTAAGTTTATTCAGGTATGCACAAATACAGTTATATAGATTATCATACATAGCAGCATATGTGTAGAGAAAATATACTTATTGTATCATACAAATACAATACACTGATAGTTACTGCATCGTTTCAATACAGCAAGAAACACACTGTATCATACTAATACAACACGCTGCTAGCTATTGCATCGTTGCAATATAGCACAAAAGAACTATATTGATGGTGTGCAGGAAGGTCAGGATGCTTCATACATGTCACCTCAAGGAGGAGACCTTGATAGTGAAGGGCTCTTGATTCTAGGAGTTGGAGTTATCCCCCGTTCCTTGGATCAGTGTAGAGAAATGATCAACACGCTCATACAACCTACAAGGATAATCGACCCTTCAGCAGGTGTTGAGTCAGCAGGAACTCAATACGAGTCCCTCAGCAGGTGTTGAGTCAGCAGGAACTCAATACGAGTCCCTTCAGCAGGTGTTGAGTCAGCAGGAACTCAATACGAGTCCCTTCAGCAGGTGTTGAGTCAGCAGGAACTCAATACGAGTCCCTCCAGCAGGTGTTGAGTCAGCAGGAATCAATCGAGTCCCTTCGCAGGTGTTGAGTCAGCAGGAACTCAATACGAGTCCCTTCAGCAGGTGTTGAGTCAGCAGGAACTCAATACGAGTCCCTTCAGCAGGTGTTGAGTCAGCAGGAACTCAATACGAGTCCCTCTCAGCAGGTGTTGAGTCAGCAGGAACTCAATACGAGTCCCTTCAGCAGGTGATGAGTCAGCAGGAACTCAATACGAGTCCCTCCAGCAGGTGATGAGTCAGCAGGAACTCAATACGAGTCCCTTCAGCAGGTGATGAGTCAGCAGGAACTCAATATGAGTCCCTTCAGCAGGTGTTGAGTCAGCAGGAACTCAATACGAGTCCCTTCAGCAGGTGTTGAGTCAGCAGGAACTCAATACGAGTCCCTTCAGCAGGTGATGAGTCAGCAGGAACTCAATATGAGTCCCTTCAGCAGGTGTTGAGTCAGCAGGAACTCAATACGAGTCCCTTCAGCAGGTGTTGAGTCAGCAGGAACTCAATACGAGTCCCTTCAGCAGGTGTTGAGTCAGCAGGAACTCAATACGAGTCCCTTCAGCAGGTGTTGAGTCAGCAGGAACTCAATACGAGTCCCTTCAGCAGGTGTTGAGTCAGCAGGGACTTAGCACGAGTTCCTCCAGCAGGTGATGAGTCAGCAGGAACACAAGACATTCACACAGTATACCTCAAGGGAAGTTCCTTGATGCTAGTGAAGGGCTCTTGATCCAGGGAAATGAACCTCCCATCCTTGAATTGAACCTGATTTTCCTCATTCCCCAGGCGCTGTATGGCCTCCTACGGGTTTAGCGCTCCCCCCCTCAATATAATCATCGTCTCTGCAATTTTCTCTTCAGTGTCCAGCTTTCATTGCTGTCACGTTGCAGCCTGGTACTACCGTGACGCACCTTGGAAGGTCTGGTCCAGGACCGTGCCGCGGGGGCGCTCACCCCCGGAAACATCTAAAGAGAGAAACAGTTATTTAAGATGATCTATAGCTCTTGGTCCCTCGTGTTCTTGTTCCTTTTTTTTCTCTCTTATTTACCCTTGTATACTTTACCTCTGATCTTCCTCTCCTCTTCTTCACCTCCCCTCCCCCTATTCTTCACTCTCCCTCCTCCCCTATTCTTCACTCTCCCTCCTCCCCTATTCTTCACTCTCCCTCCTCCCCTATTCTTCACTCTCCCTCCTCCCCTATTCTTCACTCTCCCTCCTCCTCCTCCTTCCCTCGTCTACAGTTACCGAGCAAATGTCAGTTGTCTACTTCCTGTACTCCTGCCTCTGACCCATCTCTTACCCTGCTCAGTAACCTTCCTGCTTCCTGGAGGTGCTGATGGAAGTAGTGGTGGTGATGGTGAAAGTAGTGGTGATAGTGGGTGGTAGTGTGAATGAGGTGGTAATATGAGAGTTGTCTAGTCGTGGTTGTGGTGGTGGTAGTGTGCGAGTTAGTCGTGGTTGTGTGGTGGTAATATGAGAGTTGTCTAGTCGTGGTTGTGGTGGTGGTAGTGTGAAAGCTAGTCGTGGTTTTGGTGGTGGTAGTGTGAGAGCTAGTCGTGGTTATGGTGATGGTAGTGAGAGAGCTAGTCGTGGTTGTAGTGGTGGTAGTGAGAGAGCTAGTCGTGGTTTTGGTGGTGGTAGTGAGAGAGCTAGTCGTGGTTGTGGTGGTGGTAGTGAGAGAGCTAGTCGTGGTTGTGGTGGTGGTAGTGAGAGAGCTAGTCGTGGTTGTAGTGGTGGTAGTGAGAGAGCTAGTCGTAGTTGTGGTGGTGGTAGTGAGAGAGCTAGTCGTGGATTGTAGTGGTGGTATGAGAGAGCTAGTCGTGGTTGTGGTGGTGGTAGTGAGAGAGCTAGTCGTGGTTGTAGTGGTGGTAGTGAGAGAGCTAGTCGTGGTTGTAGTGGTGGTAGTGAGAGAGCTAGTCGTGGTTGTAGTGGTGGTAGTGAGAGAGCTAGTCGTGGTTGTAGTGGTGGTAGTGAGAGAGCTAGTCGTGGTTGTAGTGGTGGTAATATGATTGCTAGTCGTGGTTGTGGTAGTGTGAAAGTGGTGGTAATATGATTGCTAGCCGTGGTTGCATGGATTAGTTCTCAGGTCGTGAGTCGAACGACCTTCACTATGTTTCAATAATTCTCTGCCTCGATGACACTGTCGTACTTATCACTAACACTGTGTATGGTGTCTGCTTCCACCACGACCTCGTCCAGGCCGTGTCATTTCCTAACCATTGCTCAGCAAGAATGTTTACACATCCCTGCTCTTGTTTACTTAGCTTCCAGCTTGGCTTCCTTGTCTTTTTTTTTTTTTTATTCGCCGGTATTCTCCCGGCCCGGGTCTTTTCCAAGTAGTGGTGACCCGGCCTTGGCTCCCTATCTAGGGAGTGTCTCGAGACTTAAGTCTCCCATGGGAGGAGGTACAGTACCTCCTCATCTTTGGGACCAAGTGTCCCCAGGCCTAGCCACATTCCCCGCCCTCACGGGGCTCGTAGGGAGAAGCTAGGCCTCTGGTCTGCCATCTACCCCGCCTCAAAGGGGCTCGTGGGGATGGCAGTCTTATGAGCTGCAGATGGTGGCTTCCTTGTCTCTTATCCCTCGCCTTTTAAACACTTCCTGGCTACCTTATCAATTCATCTGACTATCTAATACGCTGTTTTATCTTACCTGGTTCTTCTATATTCTAAGGTCGCCAGGTTTAATTCCTTTCGTTTTTATTCGTTGGTCAGCTTTAGTTGAGGGACCAGTTTTGTTGCAAACCTCTACACTTTTTGCAGGTTTTGTACTATTTGATCAGATGTGGGCTTAAGGCTGGAGCTGCATACTTTAATACAGCTCTAACATGGTGTACACAGAACCTGAAAGGCTGTTAAGACGCACCTAACTTCCCCCACCTTCCAATATGTCACTTTTCCACTATAATCTACCTTGTCTATAATTATTTTCGCATTTTCTTTGTCTGTTTCAAAGCAAATGCGATAGTAATTATAGACAAGGTAGATTATAGTGGAAAAATAATATATTAGAAGACGGGGGAACTTACGTTGCCTCTTAACTTACTTAAGATTCCAAAATGTAGTTTCACCAGCGTCGTCACTGCTCTAGCACACTTTATCTTCCCTCCTCGCTGACGGCCCCACCTTTGACACAGACGCCCTCGTTGACTTTTTGACAGCAAGAGATTTATTACAGAAACTTTGCTAATACTGCCTTCAGCACTCCTCACAGCCCTTTCTAACTCTGCCTCTGTCCTCTCCAACCTTACTATACTATGATCCTGCAACACTCCCTGCCCTGCAATGCTGTATGACCCTAGTGGGTTTAGCCCTTAGTTTTGATTATAATAATAATCCTGAATGTAGTTTGTGTGTATACACATGTGTATACACCTAAAGTATTCGGTAAATGTGAACCTCTGATGACATGATGAGTATTTTATTATAATAAAAAAAAAAAGAAGCGCTAAGCCACAAGGGCTATACAGCGACATGATGAGTAGTATACATACTCCAAAGTCTTGTTTAAAATATGTAGCCTCTGCTCTCCAGTCTATACTCCGTCTCCAGTCTTTCTCCTTTGATTCTTCATTTCATTACTTTGAGTCAAGTCGAACTCCAGTAACCATTTTTCAGATCATCCCTTTAGTGTGTTCAAGTCATCTTACGGTGGTTCACTATCTTCAGTTTTACTCTTAATCAGTTTTACATCATCAGCAAACAGCAATCCCCAGGACTATCACATGATGAAGTGTTTGCTACATGACTGACAGTAATGATTGCAGAATTACCGGCAAAAAGTTAGGTGAAAGACAGATGCAGGTAATGTGACGTATTGTTGTGGCAACGTTTCGCTCTCCAGGAGCTTTGTCAAGTAGTAATGGCTTGACAAAGCTCCTGGAGAGTGAAACGTTGCCACAATAAATGTCCCATTAGTTGCACCTGTGTCCTTTAACCCAGCACATGACTGACCCTTGTGGGACCCCGCGTCTCTGTTTCCTCCTTGTACGATTCACACGGGTCTAGGTTTTACTTTCAATATATTAGTATCATGTCTGCCCAGCCTGGTACATTCTCCGTGAACCTCATCATCAGTCTGTCTCCTGTTGAGCAGTTACTAGTGTCACCACACCTTCCCTGACACCGCTGCCTGTTCTTACCAGTTTATGTATCATCCTGTGCTACGATGCCTGAAGGGGGTTTCTGGGGGTCAACGCCCCCTGATGCATCAAAGCCTGGTCAACCAGGCTGTTACTGCTGGCCACAATCAGTGCAATATACGAACCACAACCTGGCTAGTAACTTCAGGAATTTATCACGTTAAATTTGTGATATTGTGTGTTTTGTTTTTGCTTCTATCCTAGTGCCTGGATTACAGTGTTCCTGTCTACCCTATCAAGAAGAGTAGGAAGCAGAAGCAGCAACCAAATACCTACTTACTGCTAGGTGAAG